GGCCAAGCTGCCCAAGCCGCCCGCCGCGGCGGCGGCGGAGGCGCCGGGCGCCGGCGCCGGCATGGAGCGCTCGCAGAGCCGCCTCAGCCTGTCCGCCTCCTTCGAGGCGCTCGCCATCTACTTCCCGTGCATGAACTCCTTCGACGACGAGGACGCGGGTAAGCGCGCGGCCCGACCCCCGATCCCGGGGGAGTGTCCCGGGGTGCAGAGCCCGAGGCCCCCTCCTCGACTTGCTGCGCCCTCGCAGCTGGCCACGCGCTGCTCTCCACCTCCCAGCTCCGCTTGGGGATGCGCCCCCAGGGTCTCCTCGCCAGCCCATGGCACCCTGGTGTCTCTAGGTTGCGGTCTGTTCTGCCCTCCGCACCACCTGGGACCCCTAGATCATCTGCATCCTCCCCTTGCTCGCAGGTGGGCCCTTTGGTGCCAGCTCTCCCTACTCACCTGCGCCCACAGGATGCCTGCCCCCTGCCTTGTCCCTAGATCTGACCTACCACCCTCCCCGAGGCTCCAGTCCGTGCTCACTGCCCAATCGTTGGGGTTTTGGCCGCCCCACCCCTGGGGCTCCGGCGCGCCCCCCGCCATTGGGGGTGGCGCGCAAACCTCATCTCTCCATCTTTGTCTTGGCTGCATCAGAGGCTCGGTGCCCAAGACCCCCGCCTCCCACGTCCAAGGCCTTGAACGTCCCCATTTGTCCTTCCTTTCCTTACCCCATAGGCTGGGGCTTTGGACTGAGTTGTTTTTTTTTTCAATCAGACTGCCATGTAGCAGCCTTTCCTCTCGGTTCTAGCCGCTCCTCCCAGATAGAGGCGTAGGGAGGCCCCTGTCTGTACTTTCTCACCCTTCAGGCTGCGTCCCTGCCCCTGGGTACTCTTGTCTCTGGAGTATCTCTTGTGAGTGGCCTGAACTCGACCACCGTCCAATGGTCAAACTTCCTGTTCCCAGGCCCGCATGTTACCTCTGCCAGAGCCTGAAGGCAGGGGAAACCAAAGGAAACCTGCTCTTTGGGGACTCCGGGACCAGCTAGAAGAGGGAAACAGTGTTCAGGTCTGGTTTTGGGGTGAGAACAAGAGTTCTCCTACAGGTGGGGAAGCTAGAGGGCTTGGATGAGAGTTCCCCAAAGAATGTCAGATTTGTAGTCAGAATCAGAGTCCAGTTTGGTTCTCTGTTAGCTGTGACCTTGGGCAAGTCGTGCCATCCCCAAGCCTCAGTTTCCTCATCTGTAAAGTGGGGGCGACAGCACCTCGTACACAAAGGTCTGCATAGTGAGGGTGGAGTTAAAACTGTTCTGTAAACTGAAAACTTGAGAGTATTTGAATTCAGTGAGCGGTACGATGGAGAGGGGTATTGTAGGGGGAGGGGCAAGATGGTTTCACAGACACTTTTGAGAATCTGATGAAAATATGGATTCTCTCTCCAAAAGGAGTGCCAGTATCCACCATCCACACAATTTTGCCTACAGTTTTAGGGAGTTCATGAGCCTAGGTTAAGACTCCCTGCCTGCAGGGACCATTGTCTGATTAACCGGGCTACCCAGGTTAACCAAGGGAATGGGGCAGTGGGTGATAGGTGAGTGATGGGGGAAAGGGAAGAAGGTTTCTAGAAGAATTTGTTGGTCAGGTGAACGAATGGGGGTTCATAACATTAGAGCCAGTCCTGATTCCTATAGTACAGAAAAGGCAACTGCGGTTCAGAGGCTTAACTTCCTCCTTCATCTAGCTGAGGGAGGTTGTAGTATAATTTTGAACAAGGCAAGGTGAGGAGGAATAGGGTGGCTCCATTGGTGCATAACTGGGGAGGCAATGAGGTAGGCCTGGGGTCTGGGGAGGGAGCAGCTGCCGGAGGGCTGAAAGACCACCCCCTCTGGGCCCCAGTCTAGGTGAGCCGGCTCCCACTCCTCAGCTGACGGCCAGGGCATTCTCCTGAAGTTCAGTAGGCCGCTTCGGTCTCAAGAACCAGGTATGAGTTGGTAGTGTTAGAGGCAGATACGGTTTGGTTTTTCTGTAAAGTTATGCTCTGTGTCATGGGCCAAAAACCTTGATTATTTCACAGGCTGCAGGGGATCTTGCTGTGATTTCAATTAATTCAGAACAGATAACTTCATGTAACATTGCAGATATTTTTAAAGGTCCACCTGATGTTTTCTTTTTTTTCCCGAAGGGTTTCTTCAACTTCATAAATGGTTCACTTGGAAGAGCTCTAGAAATCTTCATCTAGCCCCTTCTTGCCCCTGCATGGGTGGGAACTGAAGGTGTTGGGATGTGTGTGTGTGACCCAAGGTAACTCTGTGCCAGTGAGGCAGGCACAGAGCTGAGACCAAAGTCGTCAGGCTTCTGGTTCTCTTTCCAGTAAACCAGTAGCCCTCCCTCTGACAGAAGATTAAAAAACAAAAACAAAAACAAAAAACCCCAAATCTCCCTGTGTAGAAAATGGTTCCCAGGTGAGGAGGCCTTAGGGAGCTGCTGGCAGCCAAGAGTTTGGTTTGGGCATCTTGTGCTCACTGTCTCTGCTCATCCTGAGGGATCAGAGGGGGAGGGAGCAAGTCAAGTTTCATTTCCGGCAGAATAATGTCTGGTGAAAATCCGAAGTAGGGAATGCTGTTTTGGAGCTTAATTCTCTTGTTCTTCAGAGTCATTAATTCTCACCTAAATGAGCCTTTTGTATTTATTCTTTTAGAGCACCACTGTGTGAACTAATTTCTAAAATCAATTTGAATGGTCTCTCAGATTCTGGACAGAACACAGGTTCCTGGGAGGGCTGCCACAAATGGCTTTCTTTGCTTGGCCTTCCTCTTCCCCTTCCCTCCTCCACTCACTGTCCCTCTATCCTTGACGGCTCCATCTCAGAAGGGTGTGCTTGATGAGCCTTTGGTTCACCCAGGGCCTACCCTTGGCTCCTGCTTCCTACTCGTGTCAAATGTATCTTCTCCATCATCTGGATGGAGCCCTAGCCATCTTCAGGGTCTACATACTGCTCCTCACATAGTTTCCTAAGAAATGAGGTGAGAGGTGAGAGGGATACTTTTTCATTAGCTGTAACTGGGGCAGAGTACTCTCCCGCCTTAGGCTTGGAGCCTCTGAACATTAGTGTGGCAAAGACAGCTGCCTTTCCTCCCATCCCTTTCTGGACATTGGCACAGGCCATTGTAGGTGCTTAGAACCTAAGGAACATCTTTCCTCATGCATGCTAAGCTCATTTCTTAGGTCGCTTTTCCCCCTTTTCACAAGGAAGCAGAGAGCCATGCAGCTGGGGACTTACTGTGTCTTTATCTCTCAGCCTTGCTGGGATTGGCTTATAATTGGGGAGGGTTTCAGGTGGAGTGGAGTTGGGTATGTGACCTCAGTTTTCTCACCTGTATACAGAAGAAAGTAATAGCATGGACTGCCTGGGGTCAGCATTTTTTAAATGTTATCTTGTGCTAGACATCCCTCCTAGGCACTCTAAATGTATTATTTTAATTCATTCTTCATAACAATCCCATAAAATTAACATCCTGTTAATGTCTCCATTTTTAGATGGGAAAACTGAGGCACGAAGATAGTAAAGTAATTCTCTTAAGGTCACTCAGCCAGGAAGTAAGGGAGTAGGATTTGAACTTGGGCAATCTGATTTAAGAGTCTGTACTCTTAATTATTATGCTAAATATAATATAATTAATTAATATGCTGTACAAAGTGCCTACCACAGTACCTGGCACAAGCTAGGCTCTCAATACACGTTAGCTAGTATCTATCTGATTAACAAGGAAGAGCTGTTCTGAGCATGACTGTAAGAACAATCTGTGGGTTTGGGGAGGGGTGGAAGCCTGATCTCAAAATGTTTTATGATTTTTGTAGGCAATTGTTCTTACACTGTTACAATTATTAAGGCGGAGCTGGGCCCTCCCTCTTAGAAGTGGTTTACTGGTGGGGCTTTGGGGACTTATATGCTGAAGAAGAGAGTGGGGAGCATTCCAGGTACCCCTTTCCACTGCTCTTCCTGAACAGTTCCATTTGTACCACATTATAGTTTGGAAGGAAGATGGGGCAATCTACTTCCGTAGTGATCTGCCTTGAAAACCCAAGGAGGGGTCGCTATGAGTCAGGTCCGACTCGACAGCATATAACAACAACAACAACAACATAGTCCCAGCTCTGCCTCTTGGCTTTTGGGGCACAGCTGGGGAGTAGGGGATGTCTCCAGTTTCTAGCAAATGCCAAGAGGGGTGTTACATCGGGGTCTGGAACTGAGGATAGTGTTCCTGAGCCTGACCTAGTGGTTTCAGCATCCAGTTCTCCCCACCCCTCCGCCCCCCGCCCAAGAGAAAGGCGGAGAAGCTGGAGCAGCCAGTTCCGATTTGCCCATAGGATGCTTGGAGCCAGCTTAGGGAGGAGGTTGCCATGACAACATGGGCCGGCTACCGGTCCCTCTCCTAGCGGTTCGGGCCACATCTCTAGGGTGGAAAGCCCATGATGGTACCGCCCCCTTCCCATTCAAGCTGAGTCTGAGGGTGGGGGCATGGTGGATGGGACCCACAGTTTAGTACCGTAGTCACCCACACACCCCCAATTTTGGATGGAGGGGAGTTGTCTGAATTACTTCTGGGTTTTGTGATGGAGATACCCGTATCTTGCCAGACAGATCCTGGCGGGAGGAATGAGAGCCACCCCCCTCCCCAGGCACCCAGAGTGACCACACTGGAATGCTTTCCCTCTTCCCGCCCCCTCTCCACCCCCACTTCACTCCATTTGGCAGAGTTTTCTTTCCCAGAACAAGTGCTAACTTTCGTCCTTGAAATTTGACCTGAGCCTTTTCTGGGAAACAAAATGTCCTACTATCCCACCCTTTTCTCCAGAGATGGTGGGAGTGAGTCCTTTAGCCCTGGAGGGGGGCTGGGGCTGGATGGATGAGGGGGATGGTGATGAGGAGGCCTTACAATATCCTTCTGGACCAGGGCTACTGGGGGGCAGGAGGTTGGGGCTTTGAAGCCCCTGTACCCACCCTCTTAGGAGCTCTGGTAGCATAGTGCCTAAGGCACTTGACTGCTAACCAGAAGGCTGGCGGTTCAAACCCACCAGCCACTCCTTGGAAAGAAGGTTGGGCAATCTACTTCTGTAGTTTTACTGCCTCAGCAACCCAAGGAGGGGTCACTATGAGTCAGGTCCCACTCCATGGCACATAA